CTTCCCACAACCATGTTCTCTCCGAGTTGGGAGGTGGGGGACCAAGGGTGTGGCGATGATGCAATCAAATGCCAGGCGACACATGGTGTTCTGCAGCTCACTGTGTCAATACAGCCTGAAGAAAACACAGTATTGACGCTGCCTGTCACTTTATTGCTTCTGGGCTTTTCATGTGAATACCGGCCTTTGTGTTCCTTAGGAGACTTCCTGTCCGTGGTCTCTTCCCCGGGTTATCTCTGACTTGTAGGAATCCTATGTGTGCTGCAGGTTAATTCCACCTATGCTGCACATTTCTTGTTGGGGGGCACTTGTTTAGCTTTTTATTTTATTTCATTTATTTGCGATTGACACCGTCCTCCTGATCCCGCCCTCCCATCTTAGCTTCTCAATGGTGTCTTGTTGTAAGTTTTAACGTTAGCCGCATTATATGTAGATCCATCCTACGTGACTTTAGGATAAATGTAATAAAGAGATTCAACCCAAGTTCAAGGCCTGGTTTTCTAACACTCCCCAAAGAAGCCCACACAGATGCCTGTTCTTAGCCACTCCTGTGTCTGCCTGTCACCCTCAGCCTCCAGGGCCCTCGAAGTGCAGTCTGGGGGTGCGAGACTCCTGGCCGAGCCCACGGTCACAGGTCCTTTCATACTCCTACGACGGCGGCACGCTCTGCCTTCCCCACGCGCGTTCTCACTGCAGGGAGACGTGGGCAGGCGCTGGCACGTCGGCTCTGCCCCAGCCTTGCTGCCGAGCCCCGGGACGCCCGGGCCAGCCTCGCTCAGGACTATCCTTGCGAGCAGCTGCACTGTCTGATTAAATCTCTCACCCTGAATAAGCCCTTTTCACATCCGGTGTGATGAAACAGGATGTAGATATAAGCTGCTCCTGCTGCCAACCACCATGCACCGCTTGGCCTGCAACAGGCGCTGTGGGGAGGGCGCAGCGCAGACTTCATCCGGGCTGCACGATGTTGGTTTGAAACAACTGACACACTGCCCCCCCGCCCCCGATCTGGTATTTGGCAGAGCTACGTGAACTACGTGAGCCTGTCATGTCAAGGAAAGTGACCAATACTGCAAGAACACGCGAGCCCTAAAAATGAAAGTCGGGATTTCAGAACATACATCCGCTACCCTTGGGCTGGCAGCTTCCTGGTTCTTAGGTTTTTAAAATGCAATTGGTAATATTAACAGAAGTGATTTTTTCCTGTGGTGTAAAGAAATGAGTCAACATTTGGAAGAATTACATAAGTTGGTAAACGAGTGTTTTCCAAATGACCAATGCATGACACGTCAAAAACCAAGCTTGGGTGACAGCCAGAGTAGAAAACAGACCAATGGCCTGGCTGGTGTGGCTCCGTGGTTGAGCGTCACCCCATTAACTGAGAGGTCCTGGTTTGATTCCTGGTCAGGGCACATGCCTGAGCTGCAGGCTCGATCCCCAGTAGGGGGCGTGCAGAAGGCAGCTGATCGATGTTTCTCTCTCACATCAATGTTTTTCTCTCTCTTGCTTTCTTCCTCTCCCTAATCTCGCTCTAAAATCAATACAAAATCTTAAAAAAAAAAAAAAAAGTTTACAGCTGTTTGTATGGAAAACAAGGCAATAATTAATACATAATAATACAAGAGTAAACTGCTTCACATACAACTGTTACCCTTTGGCCCACCTTGTATGTGAGGCCAGATTTTCTTCACTGGCTTCAGCCAAAACAATACCTGACAACAGACTGCATGTAGCCAGAGCTGTGTGCATCCAGGTGACTGCTGAGCCAGACATGAGAGAAGTGTGAAGGTATGAACAATGCTGCTTCTTGGTTTGGAAAATACTTCCCATAAAAGTGTTACGTTACTATAGAATGGGCTTACTGTTAGTTTTAAGTGAATACATACTTCATTTTATTTTTTTTAAATGTTTTAAAAATATGTTATTGATTTTTTTTTTTTTAAAGAGAGAGGAAGGGAGAGATAGAAACACCCAAGTGAGAGAAACACTGGCTGGCTGCCTCCTGCTCGCCCCCTACTGGGGATCGAGCCTGCAACCCGGGCATGTGTCCTGACCAGGAATCGAACCAGGACCTCTCAGTCCACGGGGCAAAATTCAATCTACTGAGCCACACTGGCCGGGCAGTGAAAACGTATTTTAAAGTTTTGAATTGCTCATGCTGCAACTACAGATAAAACAAAAACTCCTGGTGTGGGGGTTCCTTCGATATTTAAGTGTAAAAGGATCACGAAATAGTGGTTTGAGAGCCACTGTTCTACCTATTTGGCAAAGACTGGGCTCAAGTCTTAAATGATCACCTACAGATATATGGCTGTCCCTGCCGCCCACCTCCCGCCGGGTCAGAGACACCACGCAGCTGACGCATCAGTTCCCCTTTTCCTTGGTTAAGAGAATGTTCTCTTTGCAGCTGGGCACTTGACCACACAGATTCAAGACTTCATTCACCTGAGTGCTGTGGGTAACACCTGGGATGCATCCTTAAGGTGGCAGGAAGCCATTCCAGGCCATGCGCATGAGAGCTCAATCCTTGGGATGGCAAAGCAACAGAAGGGCCTGAGCACCTGAAACCGCGGGCCAGCCACCACACTGAACTGGGACTGCGTTTCAGGACAAATACTTTGCTTTTCAGCCACCAGCAGTTGATCTCACTGGTCTTCTAACCACAAGGGATACCACTTCTGGGTCATGCCCTGAGGGAGAGATGCTCTGAGACCCCAGGCCCCTCCCCTACTTTTCACTGGTTAAGTGATTCAGAGAACTGGAGCAGCTGTCTTGGACCTAGAAGAAGCCCAAGTATACATGTATTAAAGGAGTATCAGTCTGCACATCTGTACCCCTGACTCAGGGTACCCACCAAGGGCAGGGCCTTGCCTATACTTTGTGTAGCCCGTCATGCTCTGTGTTACTCCAATAGGACATTAATCCAGCCGCTGCCTCTCTTTCCAGGTCCACCCTAGCATTTGGGGCCTGATAATCCTGTGCACGGCTGGATTCTGGCAGCACTTCTGGCCCCCACCCACTAGATGGCAGTAGCACAGCCGCCACTGAGAACAACTGCTCCAGTTACCCTCAGGACAGGGACTTGAGGTTGCCTAAAGCCGCCCTGAGGTGGGTCTCCTCCGTGCTCAGGAGGCATCTGCAGGCTGTACTGACATCGTCATCCTGGAAGTCTTGTCTTTCAAGATGGGGATCACCCTTTCCTTTCCCCAAGAGGCTCTCATGGGCCCCCATCCTGCGTTCTCTCATTTCCATAGCAGAGTGCCCAGGGTCCAGAAAGCTGTCCTACTCTTGGAGCTGCAGAGTGTGAGCCGGGTCGTGGCTGCCCGGGTGGAAGCTATTTCCCAGCCCGCAGCCCCCCAGACCCTCGTTGAGGCTTGATGCGGCAGGTCCAGGTTCTGCTCGTATCCCACTAGCAACAAGGTTTGCTGCTTCTGCCCGGGCTGGGGGGGGGGGGGGGGCAACCCCCTCCATTTCCACCTTCCACTGGTTAAGGAATCTGGACCGGGGTTGAAACGCCCTGTTAAGGACGACTGAGCCAGTCTACCAGCTGTGAGCTCTTGCTTCTTCAACTGTACCTGAGAGAAAGAAACCTGAGTGTTTAAGCCACGTCCTTTGGTTTCTACAAGAGCAAAGAGCCCAGTATCTTAGTCACACAGCCTAGCAGAGCGTCTACGCTGCAGACCGAGGTGGGCACCGGTTTGTCAAGAGCCAGGCAGTAAACACCTGTGTACCACGGGATGCTATATCAGGCTCTGTGTACTAGCCCGTCTCTCCAGCGACTCCCGCAGGGCCAGAGCAGCCGCAAACAGCAGGGGGACAAAGGGGCACACCAGGGTGCAGACCCGGTTGTAGATGAGGGAATCCCTCTGCTCCAGCACCTTAGTTCTCTGTTCTCAGCAGCTGGTTGTTCCTTGGGGGCCACCTTTAAGAAGCAACCTTACTGTTCTCATCTAAGGTTACTATGGCCACAGGCCTCCTACAGCCCTCCTTCTGCCAACCTCTCCAAGTTCATCTCATACCCGTTTAAACAACAACAAACATTATCTCGGTACATTTCTGAGAAGCAGACTAGCTGATCAGTTCTGGCTAAAGGTTTCTCATCATTAGGTGATAATTAAGATGTTGGCTGCACCTGCAAGAACGTGACAGCTCTACTAGGGCTGGAGCATCTGTGTTCAAGTTCACCCACATCGCGTACCCAGTTTGGCTCCTTCCATGCCTTTGCAGCTAGATCAAGTCCCTCTACTATAGCTTCCTCAGCACTTTTTTCCTTTTCGTTTTTCCATTGATTTTTAGAGCGAGTGGGAGGGAGGAAGGGCGCGGGCAGAGAGAAACATCGATGTGAGAGAAACACGTTGATTGGTTGCCTCCTGGGGCCGTGGAATAAACCTACAACCCAGGTACATGCCTTTGACCGGGAATCGAACCCGAGACCCTCGCATGTGCGGACCGGCGCTCTAACCACGGAACCACACTGGCCAGAGCTTCTTCAGCACTGTGTCCCCTCACCTGTTAGCTACCGTTTTGCCTGTTGCATTCTGCATCACAGACCCCTCCACGAGACTAAGTTCCATGACACAGCGACCGCTCTCTGTCCTGCTCATCACTACATACCCAGCACTTGATTCTTACCCTTTCCTTGGGGTTTCTTTTTTTTTTAAATTAATTTATTTTTGTTACAGATGTTTCTCCTTTTTCCCCAACTGATTCCTCCCTCCCTCTCCCTCCCCGCCCTGTCCCCGGCTTTGTTGTTCATGACCTTTGTTCATGCACACATGCATGTAAGTTCTGTGGTTATCTCTCCCCCACCACCCCCTCTCCTGGGGATTGTCAGTCTGTACCCCACTTCCACGTCTCTGGGACTACCCCGTTCCTCAGACTGTTATGTTCATTATATTCCACAAATAAGTGAGATCATATGATACTGGTCTTTCTCCTTGGGGTTTGTTTTTTGGTTTGTTTTTCACAGGGAAGCTCTGAGCAAATGAACGGACGCCTACCTGTGTGGATGCGTAGATGGCGGTCCAAATCCTTCATGCCATGGACAGTTTTGAAGTGGCAACCTAGAAGGGAAGGAAGAAAACCCAGCTCTTCTTAAAAATATGACCTCCAAAAAGGCAGCTGCTATGAACTGAAGTGCTGGTGAGTCACGCGCCTGGGCACGATGCCCAGGACCCACAGAGGACGCTCCTGCTGGTGAGGGTGGGGAGCAGTGCAGGGACCTGCTGGTGAGGGGTCCGCGGGGCTCACCCCGCGTGCTCCGCCTCCTCTTTACCTGGATAGCAACAGTTGAATGTCCTTTCTCCGAGGGTGGCCATTTGTTCCTTGGACTCGGAGGGAAGCGCCACCCCGGGGGCTTTCTGGGTGTCACTGCTGTCGGGGGAGGGGCAAGCTGGCTTTGGGGCATCGTTGTCCAGTTCTGAAGCTGAAATGGAGACAAAGAGCCGGGTTACTTCATTTTCCGAACGTAAGCGCCATGGCGAGGCTGACAGTCGCGGGCCGGGCTCACCCACCGCCCTGCGCCACCTCCTCGGGGCACCGAACACACTGATGTACACGCTGGTCTTACAAAGTCATCTTCCTCTAACGACCAAGTCCCAGGAAATACAGGGCACGGAAGATGACGGTTTCACGGACAGGGACAACACGACTGGCCAGATCCAGACTGTAACACTTGGCGAAAGCGCTTCTCAGAGACCTAGTCTATAAGATAATTTCCCACCCACCCCATGTTTCACGAAAAGCAATACACACAAATCACGAGAAAAGTAAGACGAGAACAAAAGCCCCGGGGTTCTCATTAGCTGGGCCAGGAAGCTGGGTGTCAGGGCAACGCCGAACTATTTGGAAATGCTCCCTCTCCACTTCCAACCTTGTTTTGCCGCGACTGGGTGACAGCTCCCGGACCCGCTCCAAGCCCCCTGCTCTCGGGACAAGAGGCAGGTGCTTCAACAGATCTCTTCAAAGGGGGAGGGAAAAACCAGGGACTTAAAGACTTGCGCTGATGGTCTGTAGTATCAGGATCTTGATTCTGATTTGAACTCACTGTAAAACCATTTAAGACCGTGAGAAGGTGAATCCTAACTAGAAGTTTCAGGAGGGATCTTTTTTTTTTTAAGGTGTGAAGATGAAATTCGAGTTTTTAAAACATTCTCATAGTTAGGGGACGAATATTTGTAAGTTGCATATATACCTGATCTGCTTCAACATACCCCAGGACAGGGGAGTAGTATGAAAGACACAGGACTGTCCACGCGTCATTACATGAGAAGCCCAGCTATGGGAAGGACCTGGGAGCTCCCTGCGCCATTCGATCCTCCGTGAGGCGGAATCACGCGAAATTGACCGTTTTCATGGGCCCAGATGGTCAGATAACAATTTCACATGGTTCGATCTACATAAGTCGTTTTCAAAATGTCTAGAACAAAGGCAAAGTACTCCTACAGAGGTGCTAGCCACGTCTGAAGTCTTAAAATAAAATAAAAAAGAAGGATCTTGACTAAATTATGAAATATAGGCCAAGGTCGGGGACCTTTTGTGTGTCCCAGGCACAGAAGGTGGATTCCGTTTCCCTTCAGGGTTTATCAAGGTGAACTTCTCTTACCGTGCGACGCGGGGCAGAGGCTCTGCTTAGCCGTCGTACTTACTAGCTGTGTGCCCACTGGCCGCTCACTTAACCTTTCTGAGCTAGTTTCCTCTCCTGCGAAGAGGAAGCACTGACCTGTCTCAGGCTGCTCAGAGATGAACGTGTACACTCTCAGTAGTGCCCGGCCTGAGCCTGAGTACACACCTCAGTTAAAAAGCACTCCCGGAGGTGCTCGACTGGGGTCCCTTTGCCCCCAGGGAACATTTAGCAACATCTGGGGACATTTTTGATGGTCAGGATCATGTGCATGCTGTGGCATCTAGCAGGGGGCATCTAGCAGGTGGCGGGCAGGGGATGTGCTAAACACCCCACAATGCACAAGACGGCCCCCTGGCTGAATCAGCATCACCTGAATTACGGTTAAATGTAATTTCCCAGGGGCTGGGGTGGGAGAGATGGAACCTGCATTTTAAAGCACCCCTGAAGTGACTGTCATATTACTCTAAAACTTTGCTACTCGAAGGGTGGGCCACGGAGCATAACATCAGCACAGCTGGGAGCTAGTCAGAAATGCAGAACCTCAGGCTCCATCCTACCTGCAGAAGCCTCCTGCACTTTAAGCTCTCCAGGTGGCTCCTCTCTGCTGAGGCGTGTACTCCGACTCAGGCTGGGCTCTGCACTGAGAGTGTACACTGCTCATCTCTCAACAACCCGGAGCCAGGCCAGTGCTTCCTGTTTACTGGTGAGTAAACTGTAGCTCAGAAAGGTTAAGTGAGCGGCCAGTGGGCACACAGCTAGTACGATGGCTAAGCAGAGCCCGGCGGTAAGAGAAGTTTGCCTTGATAAACCCTGAAGGGAACTGGAATCCACCTTCTGTGCCTGGGACACACAAAAGGTCCTGACCTTGGCCTACCCTTCATTATTCGGAGAAGCCCAACTCCAAGCCTGCACTTTTCTAACTCAAGTGCATCAGAAGCACCTGGAGGGCTTGTTAAGACACAGGTGTCTGGGCCCCGCCTCTAGAGTTCCTGATTCACTGGGTCTGGAGTGGAGCCGGTATTTTTCTAACACGTTCTCAGCTGCTGCTGCTGCTGCTGCTGGGCCTGGGACCACACTCAGAACATCTGCTCTGTAAGGATGGAAGATGACTCAGGGGATGGATGCTCACGGTCACGGGGCTAGAAGCTTTCAGCTGACTAGAAGCCACAGCTGCCACATCTGAAGCTCATCACTCTGCCCCTCAGAGGGAAGCCCCAAACCTGTATTACTTAACAATCCTCGTTTTAAAGGAAATCTCTCAAGCTTGAGGGTTCTAATCCCACAGAAACCGAGGAAGGCTGACACGCTGACGGCTAAGTGAGAGGATGTAAAGCACAGTGGTTCAGGGATCTGACTGCGAAGCCAGCTAGTAAGATCCAAATTCCAGTTCTATCATCTATCACCTGTGTGACCCTGAGTATGTTAACTTCCCCGTTCCCGAGCTGCCACATCAGCAAAATGGGGATTCAGCCCCAAACTCATAGGTTTCCATGAAGATGATTAAATTTAGCAGCCGTAAAAGAACTCTGTACGTAAGTCAGCACTATATAAATATTATTGGTTTTATTCACTGGTGTGTACACCTGTGAGCCACCAGGTCCTGGGACAGGGAAACACATGGTGGAGTGCATTTCTCTCTTCAAAACAGGCGGGAGAGAGATGGATGAGCTCAAGTTATCAGAAAACTCAGTCCAACAGCCCTCAAGGGCCACCCAGGTAGAATGTGAGGGAGGGGCTGAGGGACTTCCCAAAGAGACTTCCTTCACTGTACATCCAGGGGAGCCCACACTCTCCTGGGAAGGCTACAGCTGGGGCAGAGACCCTTCTAGCTTGAAAGGGGAGGGGCGCACACATTTGATAGTCAGAACCTAGTTTAGCACGGTGGGCATTTTTTAACCCTTTGAAAAACTGCTGATGTTATTTAGGAAAGTTGTTTTCCTGCCTCTGTTAGTTCTTTCTTTCTTTCTTTCTTTCTTTCTTTCTTTCTTTCTTTCTTTCTTTCTTTCTTTCTTTCTTTCTTTCTTTCTTTCTTTCTCTCTCTTTCTTTCTTTCTATTTTGTTTTTTTTACTGGTGGTGATTGAAGTCTACCAATTGGCCTGCTCCTTTCTACTTCCTCCAGAAGCCGAGTCTGGTGTGGCAAAGCCATCTGCGAGGGGCCCAACCTAAACAAACAACCAGGGCAGCCTCCTGCCCAGCACCGGGGACCTGAGACACCGGAGGAACCGAAACCCAGCAGCTGGAAGGCTGCCTTTCTCTGCAGGGCTGGCTGGTGTTGACGGCGTTTGGGACATAATTCTGATTATGCGCTGCTCCCACGGAGGGCACCCCAGTACTGCACAACACAGACCCCCCCTCCCCAATGCCTTCAAACACAGGGAGCAGTGCTCGGGGCCCAGCCCTGTTTGCAGGAATAAAAGCAGCCAGTAACAGGAACTTTGACAAACAGCCTGGGGTAACTCAGCAAGTCTTCAATAGTCTCTTCCCCCTAAAGTTCAACATCCCCAATAACTCCTCAATTCCTCTTTCAAGAGGATCAGCGGGAGCCCTGGCCCCCACTCCAGAAAGACTGTCCTGGTCCAACTATTTGTCCCCATTCTAGGCCTTGGCCCAGTGGTATTTATGGTATTTTGGTTATGATAATTCATGCAGCCAAGCCTTAGTTTCAAATACAAACTATTAACTTAGGAGTGGCCCGGTGAAGGCTTCCCTCTTCTGCCACCTCCTGGGGAGAGCAAGGTCATCAGAGCATGGTGCTGGGGTCTGAGCCTTCTCCCAGAAGAGACCTGAGATCCCCCTTGACCGGAAAATGCAGGGAAAGCGGAAAAGACAGGGAGTGACAACTCCTCTTCCCACTTCCTTCCTGAGAAAAAGGTGTCAGCTAACCACGGCGGGAGGGGAACCTCCAGTCTTCACCTGCAAGCAAGATAATCGGAAAGGGAAGCGCTTTGGAAATGCAGATTCCCCGACCTCACCCCACCCCCCGACATTCCTAGGGGTGGGGTGCCTGAGAGCAGCCGTAGGAATTTGACCAGTGAGCAAAGCTCCCTCCCCACTGCCCTGCGGGCGCTTTAGAATCGGCGGCTCCAGCGGCCACAGCGTGAGAAATACCGCCGAGGTGTTAGGGCTGCCGAGGGTCTTTCCGCTCCGCCGGGACCCCCTCAGCTACGTGGCCCCCGAGTTGAGCCTGGTAAGTCCGACTGTGGCACTGCCCTGCCCGACATCCCCTCCCCCTAACGGCTCCACGTCTCGGGGGTAAAAGGCGCCCCCATCACCTCTCCGACCTCGGCGGAGCCGCTCAGGTCCAGCGCGCGCCCGTGTTCCCCGCGCCTGGAATGCGCTCCCCGGGGCCATCTCCACGGCTCGCTCCCTCGCAACCTTCAGATTTTTACTCGACGGTGCCTTCCTCGGCGAGGCCGGCCCTGGACAGCGCATTTGAAAGGGACGCTCGCCCCCAGATCGCCCATCTCCCTCCACCGCTTCGCCTACGCCCCTCCCCCACACGGCGCACCCTACACCCCGCGCTCCGCGGCTTCCTCTCCGGGGCCGCCTCTCGTCCGCACTGGGCCCAAGCTCCAGCCGAGCCGGAATTCTGTCCTCCTCGTCCCTGCTGGGTCTTCCTCCAGCACAGCCTCGTGTACCCGCCAAGCTCAGGCATTCTTTCCGATACTTCACATCCTCCAGCAGGTCTCCCTGCGCGCGGGTCTTAATACCTACTTTCCGGGCGCGCAGCCCCCGCCCAGCGCCAAGGAGCTCGGGGACCACAGTTGCGACGCACCCCGAAGACAGCCTCGTGAGGGGT